AAGGTTAACAGGACAAGGGAGATTCAAAATTCAGCTGGTAGCAATAGGCTCTGAATGGAAGTCGAAGGTAGGTATTTTTAGCTCTTGACTTACCAGCCTGAACGTCCATCTCAGAGACTTAAGATGGACAAGAGAGATGTTGCAGGAATTCGCAACGTGAGGTCACAGCTGTTCCGACCACGTGAGAGGAAGGGCCCAGCTCCCCAGACACGTTTAGTAGCTCATGCAGGAAGGTCAGCTTCTCCTCCGCTTCCTCCACCAAGAAGTTGCTGCAGAATCAGTCAACATGCGTAATGAATTCAGGTGGAAGAAAATTTTCCATCGCGACCAGGTGTGAACCTGGTCCTCAGAGCAGTGGTTCCAAAGTGTGGTCCACACTGCTTCAGTATCACCTGGGAACTTGTTAGGGATGCAAATTCTCAGCGCCCCACCCCACCCCCTGGCCCCGGACCACCTGATTCAGACACTCTGGGCGGACCCAGCAATCTGTGTTTTAACAAGCTCTTCAAGTGGCGTGCATGTTTGAGAACCACTGCTTTGAAGATCTAAAAGTGTTAAATTCCAAACTCTTACCTCCTCCAGTCTGTTTGGACCGGAGACCTCAGTGAGGAAGGACACAGTGTTTCTGAAGAGGGTACCTGCTCGCATTGCCTATAGTAACCAACAGAAATAAGATGATAATCTCTATTTCTGTTGATTCATTTAGCCAGACAGTGGTCACTTACGAGCACAAACAGAGAAAGGGAAGGGAGTAGAGAAACATTTAACTGTTCATGAAAGGATTATTATTGGCACTACATTTAAAAAAGGAAATGAACCAGAACACATTTTGCAGGTATCCACGTCTCAAATCACAGTGATGAGAGTAACTATGGGTAAAAGCCTTACTTCTCATCAAAAGAAACGGAGTCAGTTCCTCCCACATGCAATGCGGATTTGTTCCAGCTTGAAGAGTTAAGGATGGAAAGATCTCTTCCTTTTCTCAAGTTGGAGAAGCAATGAAATACATCTCTCTGGGTTATAAAAACAGTAAGGGAACTAATGTCTGAGGCCTGGGGAATTTTGACTCCGTCAACTTTGTGACTTCTTAAAAAAAATCTCTTTTCTCTCCTGTGTTTTTTTCTCATCCCACCTCTCCCCTCGGCTTCTCCTGGGTCTCCAGACTTGTGACAAACGAAAACGCCTCCTCCGGGACCAGACTGGGGGCGTCCTGGTCGTCGAGCTCTCCCTCCGTAGTAAGCTTCTCTGTTTTCCAAATGGTTGCCCTCACGCTGGGCTGCGTCCACAGGCACGGCCGGTTTGAGCATTTTAACTGAATTGCCAAACCAGTTGTGCCTGTAGACACAACCTTTACCTGCAACGCGTCTCCTCACCTTGGGGGTGGGTAACTCACGCCCGATCAAGGAGGTTTGTTAACTACCCTGAAAAGTTCGGTCTGTGGCCTCAATTCCAATGCCCCCCAGGGACTAGGAAGTGCTGAGCTTCCACACACAGTGTGCAGGTGATAATAATAAAAGAAAATGAAACGTACTGGGGCGTCCAGGGCACGTCAACAAAACTAGTAAAGGAGCTGGGTGGGCCCTGGGGTTTCAGAAATAAAGGAGATCCACACGGGCCCTGTCCTCAAGAATGTGCCATCCAGCAAGGAGGGAGATGCTAAATGCTAAGGGAAAGGGAGATTACTGTCAGTGGGGGTGGAAGAGGTAGGGTCTATGGGAATAGATGGGTAGGCAGCTCAGCGTAGTCAGGCTTAGGGAGGACCTCTGCGAGTCATCTTTAAGTCTGACCTCAAGAGTGCTGTGACATCAAGGCGGGGCAAGGCCTGGGAGCTTTAGAGGACGGTCACCCAACTCTGGTCAGGAGCCCAACCCCATCTGCTGCCTGATTTTACATGACCTGTAAGCTAAGGGCAGTTTTTCCTTTTTATGTAGTTGAAAAAAATCAAAAGAAACAATATTTCATAACACACAAAAATTATATGAAATTCAAACTTCATTGTATATACAGAAAGTTTTGTTGGAACATAGCCATACTGGTTCATTTAGGGCTTGTCTCCAGCTACTTTCGACAGTGTCAAGTAATTGCAATAGAGACCGAGTGGCCTGCGAAGCTGAATAAGTTTACCATCACCTGCCCTTTTCAGAAAGTTTACCAACCGAGATGAAAATGGTGTGAGATGAAGCCTTTGTCAACCCTGCAAGAAACTTTGTGCTAAAGACAATGGGAGCGGGTTGGTTTCATCAGGGGAGAATCCAGTCAGGTTTGTGTTTTAGGAACGCAGCTCTGAGACTTCTCCCTCTGTGATCTTTTCTTAAACCTTGTGTATTCTTTCTTTACTCACTACAGGCAGGGGATCCTCCGGTCTCTATAGCTTCTCAGGTAAGGAAAAGAGACAGCTCTGGGCAATGCTTTTAACAGGCAGATGTGTGTTTTAAAAGAGGCTTACCTTTGGCCCCAGCAAAGCCTTTACCTGAATGAGTTGGAGGGGGATCGGAGGTCGAGAGGTCTCTCTCCAACCAGCCCCTGAGCTCTGAAGGGAGGGAGGAGCTGGGGGCAAGCTGGATGAAGCAGAGCTGGTTCCCCCACCCCCCTACCAAGTCTAAGCAAAGACATCACCAGGTGGTGCCTCTTGGGTTTCTGTGTTCAGAAAACATGATTTTCAATGATCTGTTCATTCAACAAGTATTTCTGAGTCCCTTCTATGACCCTGCCCCTCATGAACTGAGTGACCTTGGGCCATGACCCCACTCCTGCATTGCCCAGTTTCCTCTGTGAAATTGGGTTAATAATTGCCCATATCATACACAGAAGTTGTTGTGTGGATTAACTATTACAGCTAAGAGCACTAAACAATGCCCAGAAAGCAACAAACAACCAGTAAGGATCAGCCATGATTACTGACTCTGTACCAGGCACTTTTCTAGGCGGTGTGACTGCTGCAGTGAACAAGGCAGGCAAGGCTCCTGCCCTTCCTAATATGCGTGAAATATGGTGGGTGGGGCCGAATAATGATTTAGATAGCAGTCTGGGAAGCATCTTAGAGGAAGAAGCATTTCAGCTAAGACCCAAGGTCTCACCAAATGATGCGAGAAGATGGGTCAGGCAGTTCTATTTATAAACAAACTCACAGATGTAAGATTTGCTCTCACAATTACAGGAAACCATGCAAGCCAACTGTTTGAGACTCTAAGATGCACCATCTGGAGTCTACAGTGAAACGCACCATCACTGTATTATCGAAGTTCAGGTTCCCATCTGTCAGAGGTCCCTATCCTAGGCTTATCTGTTGGGTTCTTTGTACTGATGAAAGTGAGCTATGGAAACCCCAGAGGACGAACAAAACTATGTACAAAATGTGCAGAGTTTTATGGAAACCTACTTAACGTCTCTGAGTTGACTCATTTATGTTGAGTTGACTCTTTTGTTGAGTTCTCCTTACTCCTTGTCGAACTGTTTGTCTCCTTTCCTGTTTGGTCCACAGATGTTCTCTATCACCTCATCGTGATGCTGGGGATTTGTGCTGTGTTATAAGGGAGAGCCAGGCAGGCAGCTGCAGTTCCTCCACCCAAGACCATCTCCTCCGTCAATGACAAACTCACATTTATTGTGCTGCCAAAAAGAACAAACAGAAGACCGTATTGTTGGGAAGCAGAGAACTGCGCTTTGCCAAATATGTGTTCCAGTGATTTTTGTGAATTTCAGCGATTGTTTTTCTTCGGTGCCCCACTTCCTCTTGTGACTTCTTGTGGCTCTTAGGTTCTGCCGTCCCTCCCCTGCAGCCAGCGGAGGAGGCTCCTTTTCCCATAGTCAAGTCGAGACTGCAGCGGACTCCTTTGAAAGCTATTCTAATTTTAAAAGACTAGCACACCCAACCAAGTGCAGCTGAGCATTTTGAGGAGAATGTAGGTCATAAGCACCTTTAAAGTACTGAGGACGGAATGCACAGGAACAACCAACTTTGCCGAAGGAGCCTTTGTCTTTGAGGCTGTGCAATTCCTATCTAAGGACCAGAGCTGAGCCACCAGGCGGGGGTTCTATTTCAAATGATGATGTGGGAATCAGAGTAGAAAACATTCGTTTACTCAAACCTGAATAATATAAAGGAAAGTGATTCTTGAGAGCCCCCAGTGAGTGCTAACCCAACTGGTGTTTTATTATAAGTTTTCTTAAATATGTATAAACAGTATATAGGTATACACTCCTTATTTTTATAGCTGATATATACGTCTAAGATCGAAAGAAAATTACAAATTGAATAGGACTCAGGCTACAAAAGAGTAAAACTCACATTAGCATTCATTGAACATGATAATGTGGCATTGCCTAAATGAAACTGCTACCTGTAACATGCTTCAGAGGGACTGCCACGACAGAGTCTCTTCAGCTTGCCAACCCCATCCTACTCGTGATGCCCAAGGCTCTCACTATTTCTATTTGCTCTGCTAAGAAATCTTCATTTGTAGAGAATGGTCTGACCTCATTTAGCCTTTACTTCAACATTCAAGCCCGTATCTTTTTTTGTCTCAGTAACCTATGACCATTCGAATAGAACCAACAAAAACTCGGAAACACAAATGCAAATAAAATGCAAACAAATGGCCAGTGAAATCACGTGGTTATTCATGCTGAGAGCACTGCCACCCCAGTGATCCAGAATATGTTGAGAGTAATGACTTACACGGTCAAGCAAATAAAAACGGAAAGAAGCGGTCCTGGTAGAGAATTGGCAGATCCCTGAAAATGCACTGAGGGCCCCGGTTTGAGGCTAGAAGCTGAGATGCGCTAGGAAAAGCCTGAGCTCTAAATTCTGTTCTTTGTCTTGCATAGACTCAACTAGCGGGCTTATCATTGGAAAACACGTCAGTCTGTATCTCTGTATTTAATGTATTTGAGAAGTTTTGAGATCTGTAGTTTGATGGTTCTTTTGCAACCGTGTTAATGAACTCAGAAATTAAGCTAGACACAGAGTGCATGTTTAGCAATAGGCTCGATTAAAATGACTCGTAGCTGAAACTGGTCTCAAAGCTGGTGCTCCAACCAGTTTGGGATCTCTTCTTCCTATAAATTCAGAATTTTTGTAGTCAGGAAGGACAGAAGACATATTTCATTGGTTCTAGTCAAAAACTCTTCAATAGCATACTCACAGCCATAATCATAAATCCTCGGCTGTCAGAGTAAAACAAAGCTGTGCTAGTTTTGCTTTGTTTTAGCATAATGTTTAATGATCTTGTATTTCTTGGTGGTGCTATGGAATAAATAAAATGCCTTAAAATAAATAACTTATGACTATAGCTTACAGTGTAAATATATCATGTTGGTAGCCAAATCTTCAACCCTCCCACTGGTTTCTACAACTAGAGCTTCTTAAATTCACATATATTTCACAGGCTTTCAATCATTTTATCCTACAGTTGCATTTCAGAAATTCCAGTATTGTGTTTCTAGGCAAGGAGGCAGAGCCATTTTGCATGATTAATGTCTGGGGGAAAAGTTTTTGTGGTCATCCCTGTCTCTAAGGCCCTCACGTCTGTCACCAGCAACGGCATGTGCTTCAACTCAAAGTTAACAGCCCCATGATGTTTGGTTGCATGTTTCATGTTTCACAACTTCTCTACTAAGGAATTAAGAGAAAGTCACTCTCCAAACAATCTCTCTTGCAAACGCCCATTAGTGCTAAACATAAAACAGACATTTAGAGAAGGAGGAAAGGGTACTTTCTCCTTTAGGTATCCTTGGTTGACATAGAAAAAAACCCTGAATATAGATTTTAGGAAAGTGCTCTTATCAAAATTCCTAATTATGAACCCTAGAGACATCTTTTCTCTCTCTCTCTAAACTTGAGTAATTTAAACAAAATATAGAGAGAGACATGGATATATACACACATATATACTGAGTATACACAGGCACATAAATCTCTACCAATTGATAGAGACAGCTATAGCTATAGCTGTAGAGAGATAGATATAGAGAGATTGATGTCTGTATATACTCAGTATATGTGTATATGTGCATGTATATATGTATAGGTGTGTACATGTGTATGTATATATGTGCATGTGTGTGTGTGAATGTAGGCACATGTGTATATATGTTCTATGTGCATGTGTGTGACTGGATGCCAGATGTTTATGTTACAATGTTTGATGAAAAAGGCAGAAGTAACAAAGTTTTTATTATATGAACATAACTGTGTAAGCATGTGGGCTAGGGCTGGAAGGGAACAAACACACACACTCCATACAGATACAAAGATGGGATAATGATAGTTGATTGTCATATCCCACCCTATCCCTACATCTGTGTGTAATTTTCTAATTCTCTCTCAATGTAACAGTATTGGATTTCTCAGTTACTTCTGCTCTTTTGTACATACCTCTGTTAGTCCTCAATATGTTGCATTACTACTATGTTTCCTCTCTCCAGCTAAACTGAGAACTAAAGATCATAGAAAGTTTCACATTTTCTTGTGTCCCCCAGTGTGGTACCTGGCACAGAGTAAGGACTCAATAAATGCTCTTTGAATTAATGAAATGTTCATAAAGATGGATGGATGGATGGATGGATGGATGGATAGATCGGTGGGAACTGGCCAGTCTCTCTAAGGGACCCCATAGCAGAAGTTGCTTTGTTCCCTTTCATAGTGGAACAAAGTGCTTAGCACCCAGAAGCCCTGATCCCAAACAAGGGAAGAAGATATGAGGCATGAGAAGATAACTTTTGGCCCACTGTCTCCATGCTAAGGTAACTCCCCTGTCCCCTTCATATAAATGCCTCTACCTTCCCTCCTTCCGAGCATCAGTCAAAAGCTTTCAATCCTTGGGGCTTCCCTGGTGGTCCAGTGGTTAAGAATCCGCCTGCCAATGCAGGGGACACGGGTTCGAGCCCTGGTCTGGGAAGACCCACATGCCGCGGAGAACTAAGCCCGTGCGCCACAACTACTGAGCCTGTGCTCTAGAGCCCGTGAGCCACAACTACTGAGCCTGTGCTCTAGAGCCTGTGAGCCACAACTACTGAGCCTGTGCGCCTAGAGCCCGTGCGCCACAACTACTGAACCTGTGCTCTAGAGCCCAAGAGCCACAACTACTGAGCCTGTGCTCTAGAGCCTGTGAGCCACAACTACTGAGCCCATGCGCCACAACTACTGAAGCCCGCACACCATAGAGCCCATGCTCCACAACAAGAGAAGCCACCGCAATGAGAAGCCCGCGCACCTCAATGAAGAGTAGCCCCCGCTCGCCGCAACTAGAGAAAGTCCACGTGCAGCAACGAAGACCCAATGCAGCCAAAAATAAATAAATAAATAAATAAGATGAAAATGGAATCGTGTCATAGAAAATGGAGTCTGTGAAGTTCCTAGAATTCAGCTGCCCACCTCTGGGCAGAAGAAGAGTCCTGCCGATGGATAAGAAAGAAATGAAGCAATAAATTGAGAATGGGACATGATCCATTTGGAAGCTGCAGTGCTCACAGGAAGTGAGAGCTCAGGGCCAGGCCTTCCAGCCACTGACTGCAGGGGTTCTGCCTGCCTGGGACGGCCTGAACCTGTTGGATTTCAGTGATTCACCCCTCAGTTAGAGCTTTAGCCCCTGAAAACATTCCTGAGATGCCTTCTGCTGTGGGCCTCTAGGTCCTTGCAGGCCGATTAGCTGATAAAGATAATAAACACCAAAGGTTAGGGAGGAGGCACTTTGCAGAGGAAGGCAGGTCCCTGGCCCCAGGCTTCGTCCTCCAGCTTTCCCCTTTCCCAGAATAAAGTTGGACTCACTGCAAATTCTCAAGCTAATGCGCTGGAAACCTCTGGCGGGGAGGCAGGCTCGCTGGCCAGTCTGGGAGCGGCAGCCCTGGTCTCCCAGGAAATGAGTTCACTGTGTCCAGCTCATCTGACTCCACCTTTGCTCTAGGCCACAGGACTCCAGGGTGGACAGAGGAGGCCAGCTAGATGGCTCCCCCTACTGGGAGACTGACTCAATACCCCGGAACTACAACCCCTGAAGGGGATATTTAAGACACCTCATGGACTTTCCTGGGACCACACAAACACCTTTGAAGAAAATACTCACCTCAGAAGATCTCTGGGACTTTAGCGTCATCCTCAGTAAATTCGGGGAGTGGGATCGTGAAGCCTTTTGCCCTTCAACCAGAAGGTTGTTTGCTCTCCTTTGCCCTGTGGGAAGCAAAGGAGAGCTGGTGAATCACAGAGCAGGAGAGGTTGCCTATCAAGTGTGGTCTCTCAGCAGACAACTCAGGTCGCCCTTACTCGCTTCCTGAGAACGTTGTTTGTAGCCAGAACTGCAATCAGGCAGGAGCTGCCTTGGTGAGGGAAAAGCTTCATCATAGATGAAATCGTGATCGTATCCTTGGACTTTGCCGATAAGCCTAGATGGACAGTCAGCGATGGTCTATGGGGTGAGGGCCAGTGGAGGCTAAAGTCTGTTGCAAAGAAAATCTTTTTAAAATAATAATAAAATCTATTGAGCTCTTACTATGAGCAGGGCACCAAGTGAAACACCTCACATACAGGTTCACAACTAATCCTCACAGCCACCTTTTGAGGGCAGTATTATCACCATTCCCATTTTACAGATGATAAAACTAAGCCCCCAAATGAGACAGCTAGGAACAAGTGGGACAGGATTCAAAGCTAGGTCTACACTGCTGACATCGAGAAAAATCTTCCTCTTACCTGAAGTCCATTGATGAAATTCATCATGCCAGAGCCAGACTTAGCAAACTGTGGAATTGAAGGTACCTCCTCCCTTTCACTTCTTTCCCTGGACCCTGACACCCATTCAAACTCCCAATGTCATAGTAACCGCTCACCACTCCCACTGTGAGCATCTCCAAGACACTCCTGAGAACATCTCAAGAGGAGTACCACCACCCCCAGAAAGGGCAATGCTTATCAGAAAGATGAGAAGTTATCATGGTATGTTTCAGTGATGGACAGGAAGCCAGGATGGAAAGGAAGGCAGAGAGAAAGGGAAGAGGTATTTAAATGTGTAGAGATGAGGTCCAAGTGCCCCCAAACCAATGGGCTCCCATCCCCTCCACCTGGGCACTTTAGACTCAGGAGAAGGGAAATAGAAGAATGTGGACATTATAATTCCTGGGCTTATATTTGCTGTTGCTTTTGTGGGAGACTAGACTGGGGTGTTCAAGCAGAAGCCAGGAGACCAGTGTAGCAAAGAGAAAGGAGGCATCACACAAGAGGTTGGTCTAGGTTGGAGCCAAAGTCACAGATTCCATGTTTGACCACTTAAGGGAATTGTACAGTCCTCTTTGGAGGAAGATAACCTCACAGTCATGAGAGCCTCCACATGGACCTTAGTGGTCTCCACGAACCACGGCATGGAGATTCACTCATCCCATCAAGTTCCTCAATATCTCCTTCAGGGACCGAAATGGGGTGGGGGGGTGGGGTGGGCACGCATTTGGTCCAGTCTTACCTTGACTGGAATGGTGCCTCTCTTTTTCTCTTTTGCAAATCACACCCTCCCAATGCCAGCAGGGCGCCTGCAGTTCTCTGAGAGACCTGAATCCCGAGAGCTGCCAGAAACCAGTTTTAGCCTAGTCATCACCTTGGTTGTGAATTTCATATGGATGTCAGTGGGGCAAGGGCTGCTGTGGGGAGGGAACACTACACTCATGGCTCAAGTTCTTGGACTGCTAGCACCTCTCACTAAACAAATCACAGACAACCTCTCTCACGTCTAGGACACGTGGACTGGTATCACCAACCATCCAGGCATTGCTCAGATGCTGCTGGGTGTTGCTCAAGCTTTAACACATTCGGTTTAGAAACAGAAGACGGAATGGAGTCCATATGCAAGTTGGTGTTCCTGATGGATGAGGGCAGCTGGGGTCCTCAGGCTCCCTGGGATAGTACCAGAGCTGGGATGTACCACTGAAAATGTCCTCTGTAACCAGAACTGCAGCTAAAGTCAGGTGTGGAGTCTACATCAGCATTTCCAATTTCATATTTTGTCCTTGAGCTCTTTACTTACAAGCTAAGAGAGATGTTTAAATCTGGATTTGAGACTCAGTTGATTAACTTAGACAACAAAGTAATCACAGGGGAAAAGATTTTTTGTGTGTTTTTATATACTGTGGAAGATTTACAAATTCAAAAGAATGTTAACCTAAACTTTTCAAAACTTAAATCACTGAGTAATTATTTTTTCCAGCTGATAAATGTCTCAGCTGATAAATGGCATATATGTGTCTAGTAATAATCAATACAATAAAATTATTGTAATGCAAAAGAATTTGATGTCCCCAGGAGTTCCTGGCCATAGATTTCTTTGGCATCGCCAAAACTATACAGCAGGATTGGCACATTACCACCTACAAGCCAAATCCTGCCCACCACCTGTGTTTGCAAAATAAAGTTTTATTGGAACATAAACACACCCAATATTTTTACATGTTGCAAATTGCTGCTTTCACACAACAACAGCAGTTACATAGTTGCAGCAGAGGCTATAGCCCCCAAAGCCTAAAATATTTACTGTCTGGCCCCGTTTAGAAAAAGTCTGCCAACTGCTGCTCCTTATTTAAATGATCTTACTATATGTGTACCTGACTGTTTAGGATGGAAAGTCTTGGAAGGAGATGTCATGTGTGTTTACATGGCTCCATCGAGAACACAGTGCAAAAACCCATCTACAAAGCTTGTGACCAGTGTTGTCTGAATTGGATAATGATCTTATCTTCCAGATGGAAAAGAGTAGACAAAATGCAAATGGGTCTTCTAAAAATACTCTCTGGTTAAAGATAGGGGACAGGAGGGACAGCGATCGTGTGTTTGCAAAGTGCTGTAAACGATACCCACGCAAACTGCTACTTTCCATTCTGGAGGCCATGTTCACAGAGTCTCCAAACAGACAGTATCTGGGCCTGGTGATTCCTACCACGCCAGCCACCATGGGACCTGCAAAGGGAAGGACAGAGGCGCATGACCAGTCTGCATTTCCCAAGTGTGGGACTCCACAGTGCAAATCAGGTCAACAAAAGCAAGTCAATAAATATTCGTGAAGTAGCCTCTGGGGGCAAAGCCTGGAAATAGACCTCAGGGTTTACAATGAGGCAAACTACAGAACCCATAGAGTTTTGGTGGAAAGCAACATAATCAACTGTTATGGATTGAATGTTTGTGTGTCCCACCCCAGTTCACATGCTGAAGCTCTAACCTCGATATGATGAGGAGGTGGGGCCTTTAGGTGGTAATTAGGTTTGGAGGAGGTCGTGAGAGGGAAGGATCTTATGATGGGATCAGTGCCCTTATAAGAAGAGAAAGAGACACGAGAGCTCTCTCTCTTCCTGCACCGTGAGGACGTAGCCAGAGGGCAGCCCTCTGCAAGCAGGGAAGAGGGCTTCCCCAGAATCCCCCATGGTAGAACCCTGACCTTAGGCTTTCCAGCCCCCAGAACTGTCATAAATGTGGGCTGTTTAAGCCACCCAGTCTATGGTAGTTTGTTACAACAACCAAACTGACTAAGACAGAAATTAATGACAGTGTTATTCATGCACTGGAGATGTAAACAAAGCATCAGTGGCACAAACATGGGAGTAATTCATCCTGGTTAGGAGTCAGGTTTTATTTTAGTTAAGCTGTGGAGGGTAAGTAAGAGCAGGTCTGGCTACATCGTTTGCAGTGCCCAGTCTCAAATGACAATAAGGGATCTTCCACTCAAAAATTATCAAGAATTTCAAGACGGTAACAGAATGGCATTAAACCAAGTACAGGTCACTTCTGCACAAGTCACAAGCCCATGAGTTTGACAAAAACAGAACATATCAAAGGGCATTTGATGCAGAGGCATGGAGGGAAAGCAGCCCAAATAAATGTCCTGGTTCGGGGGCTCCTCCTAATTTGGGTTCAACGCCTTGGAGTCTTTGTTTGTCCTTGTTACCAAGCAATCTGACTAACTAGAAATACACATGCAAAGAGAATTCAATCTTTTCTTTCCCCTGAAGATGCTACCATTTGCTCTCAGGGTTCCTAAATTAAGCTTCAGACCTAGGATGCGAATTTAGAACTACCTGCTGCTGTATCTGGACCACAAGGCCACCTGCCCCCAGTGCTGTCTACCGGTGTGGAGGCCAGTCCAGAGCTTAACCTTCTCCTCAGGCATGTGCCCAATCTGGAAGCGGATGGTGGCACTGAGGAAGTGCAAGGACGTCGTGGCAATCTCGTCCACGTGTTGGGTACCATTCCGGACGGGAAGTCCCCTAGCCACCATGTATGCATCTCCAATGGTTTCAACCTGAAAATAAAGCAAGAAAGTGGCCTTGTGTTCATCATGAGGGAGGCTGGGGGTGATGGTGGGGTCAGAGACAAGGCCCCTCATTGCTGATCCTGTTTGAGGCCACATCCTTTGAAGGGTCATACTCCCTGATGTCCATTCCATCCAAGTCCCAGCATTTCCTCGAGTTCCTACTCTTGTCCTGGCTCCTACAAAGCCTTCCTTCCCTCACCCTCTTCCCCATAGTCTCTGCTTTCTTCTCTGAAATCTGAGAGTGCTGGTGATTATATTTCCCCAATCCTAGTTCCAAACCAGTTAGACAGGCAGCAATATACTGATAGAGTAGATCTTGAAGGATCACATGGATCCATCAAGTGCAATCCATCTTATCCAAGATGAACTGTCTTCACTCCACACAAGGGCTCTTAGATACAATTATACATATGCTTATACTATACAAAATATGTATAAATGTATGTACCTGCCTGATCTGTTCTCTTTTTCCCCAATCCTCCTAATAAAATCATTTTTCAGATCCTTCATTCACCACAGAGAATAAACGACAAGTGTAAGCATAAAGTTACAGCCCCTTCCATATACATTTGCTTTTCAGCAGAATCCAAAGATGATGTGGAAAATGTGGAATTTCAGGCCTTAGCCAGGCAATAAGACCACGTCTGCTTCCTGGTGACCCTAAAATTACCCAAAGCCAACAAGTACACAAGTCTAACTGCTTCTAGGCTACCTCTCCCCGCCATGGGCACATCCTTTAGCAATATAAACTGATTTTAGCATTAGTTCATGCAAAACGTAGCTAAGAAGAAAACACTGAGAGGAAATCCCAGAGGAGGCTCGTCTAAGCAGAGCAGCTTCCATTTTTGTTGGGTGAATGTGATCTGCTCTTTGTGATTACCTGTACCATCTTTCCTTCTGCTCTTGACCAGAGGCAACATCTTTGGGGAATTTTGGGGGATAACCATTGAGGATGTGTTGCCAGGGGACATGATTGCACTGTCCCAAGTCTTCCTGATTCCAGGACCACAGGCAGAGTCCTGCAATCATGGTCAGAGCTGGTAAACTAGTGGCTGCCCACCAGGTGCGTGTGAACATGGGCACCTTGGAGTCATGATCTGGTCCCATCTGAACAGCCAGAAAGCACATAAAGTGGCCTCATCGTCACCACCAGTGAACGAAGCCAAATTATTATGTTGCTCTCCTCCCCTGCAAGATTCATTGTTCACTCTAGGTGACCCTGTTCATACATCCCCAGTGTAGCACTAGGCGGGTGGTTGCTGTCTGACCTTTAGCCGTGAGTCTCATAGTCTAAGCTTGGGGGTCTATCTTCACCTGAATTGCTAAGGGCACAGTAACAGAAGTGAGACTCACGACAGATCCAAAGACAATCTTTAAAGGAGAGTAAATGTGAGCCTCTCTGAATGTGGAAAAAATATATTCAGGAGGGAACTGGAGGAATTAGCCAGAAGAAGGTCAATGCCTGTTTTAGAAATGTGTTTACTGTGAGATAAAATAATGGAAGGAAACAGAGGGAACAACTGATGATTCTTGACAAGCACCTACATCTGTGATGAATCAAGCCCTTTTCCAAGAAAACAAACAGGAATCAAATATTGAGTTTCTGCCATGAATTGAGACAGACTGCCAGCCTGAAATAGAACCTTCCTCCTGGCTGAGGTCTAGGGCTGGATTAATCCTCGCTCATGCCCGGAGACAGCCTACAAGGGCCATGTGTGTCTCCACAACCCAGGAGCCAGGTGTCTCACCTTATACACATCATAAGTTTTAATGATGTGATCGAATAAACTGTACAGGTCCTTAAGGAGCTGCGCAAGTTGCAGCGGGGAGCTGAGAGAACAGAGTTTTGTGAATCCAACAATGTCAGAGAAAAAGATTGTCATGGACTGTAAATGCTCTGGTTCCACAGCTCTTCCAGCTATGAGCTGTTCTCCAATGAAGCTGAAACCAGAGAATAGGATCGTTTTTGAACAGTAGCATTCATCTTGTCTCCTATAGACCCCTACAAAGTCTCCCTGGTAGATCTTTTTCTTCGGTGGGTTAGATTTTGGGGTCACAAAAATCCATCATCTAGAGGGATTCTTTTGACACCCATTTCTCTGCCTGCATTTTCTCTAAAGAGATATTTGAATTGGTGGGTATAAATTCAGGGAGGGGTGAGAAGCAGTTCACATAAATGCCTTTTCAAAAAGATTTTCTCCCTGAGGGAATTTCATTTGCCCCAATTGGTCATAGAATTTGATTTTAACGACTCAGTCTACAGATGTGGAAGCAAATGTAAACATTCATCGATCCACAAATTAACATTTCTGCTTCTATCAATCAATCTCACATTGACACATTCAAATCCACAACCCCATTTCTTTGTCAAGACAAATAAGAAGGGTGCTGGAATTTTAACAGCAGATGCTCTTCTAAGTGTTTAGAGAGTGCACAGGTGATAGCAGAGCCCAAAATAAGCAAGTTTTGAACCTGAAGTTATTGGTGCCTCTTGTACTGTGCAAAGCATTTGGGCAGACGTAAAATCTGAATATGCTGAGGGAAGTAATTAATTGGACTCCTGAAACTAGAGCGCCATCTAGTGGTCGCTTCCTCTTGCTGCATCCCCTATATTCCATCTTTTACAGACCTGCCTTCTCTAATTCCTGTGGATTCCAGGGCCTTGCCTCTATCTCCCTTTACAAGGTGTACCAAATTACACACAAAATGCTTGACGCATTTTAGAAGAGACTAACATTCTCTTAGAAAAAGAACACAGGAAATAGTCTCTCCGTGTGAGGTCTCCTTAAATAGCGATGGTGTTGCTTCCTGGTTCTTTTGTCAAGGCCCCTGCTACTTTGGAATCCCTGGGCAGCATTGTACACAGCAGTTGATCCACTTTCCTCTTCTCGGCCATCAGCTAGTTGGTCCTCTCTTCCACCACCTCCTCCAGGTGATTGGTGTACACTCTCAGCTTGCTCACCATACTGTTCAGTACATTCACGCGGCTTTAAAAGAACCCAGAGATTTAAGTCTTTTTCCAAGAACTTTAGGGCCACAGTGGAGAACAACTTCCAAGTATACATTCCAAGACAACATGTCTCGCCCTTAAGGTTTCCTACTTAAGGGTTGCCGATGGACAGCAGTGAAATGACAATGGCCAAAAGGCCGCCTGGCAGGACAGAGCCTGTCCTTTACCAGCCCTGTGAGCTTGAGGGGCACCCTCTGAGCCTCAGTTTCTTCATCTGGGAAATGAGGATAATAATACATACCTCACAGGGTCATTCTGTAGATTCAGGGAGATAATGAGTACTAAGGCTGTGTCTGGTACCCAGTGGGCACTCAACAAACAGTAGCCTTCACTGCCCTCCCCATCACCCCCACTTCCCGACATGCTCCATGCCAGTCGTCATGGTCATGCAGAAATGTAGATTTCAGGATGGGTCATTCTTTTCTTTTCAGACGGCAACACCAGATGTTTTCTTTTCAGATGACAGATGTAAGGGGCATTTCTAGATCCTATAGGCTCTTGTTTTACATTTTTTTTTTTTTTTTTTTTGCGGTACGCGGGCCTCTCACCACCGTGGCCTCTCCCATTGCGGAGCACAGGCTCCGGACGCGCAGGCTCAGCGGCCATGGCTCACGGGCCCAGCCGCTCTGCAGCATGTGGGATCTTCCCGGACCGGGGCACGAACCCGCGTCCCCTGCATCGGCAGGCGGACTCTCAACCACTGTGCCACCAGGGAAGCCCCCATAACATTTTCTTGATAGAAGGGAAAGTGGGCCTTTTCTCTGGAGATTCATCCCAACATGCCTTCACCATGACCACCATCTTTTCATTTCCCTTCTCTTCTGACAGGGAAGGTCGAGGCGGCACTGACGCCCTGGGGTCCTTGATTTGGCTGATGATTTCTGAAATCCATTTGGGGTTTAAGTAGCTAAATGTCTGAGCTTTGTGCCATTCAGGACACTTCACTTTAAACAGACACGTTTTTAAATTTGTAAATTGAGTTTTTAAGTAAACTGAACAGATTAGAATTTCAGAGAAATCTGAATATTTTACAAGAAATATTAGGAATCCTCCTGGAAAATGAGGACTCTAAAACATATAAGCACACCCTAATTAATCTTTTTTTTGATTAATTTTCTTTCTAATAGAACTTTTCTTGAAATGAAGCATATCTCCACGTGATTTCAGGAGCGTATACGCATTTGGTATTAGAAATCCTCAGTGTGCTTTACGCAATTTGCATTCCATACAAAATGTTACATAAAAGTTATTTTAACAAACAATAAATGTTAACTACTATGTCCCACCTCTGTGTCCCACTTTGTAAACCTACTTTCTTTCACTTCCTCATTGGCTTTTACCGACATTTATTAAACATTCTGCTTAACCAGGTTTTGTAGAGGAAATAATATTTTGAGAACAATGTATTTGTGTTTTGGTAAAAAAAACACTGTGGTGTAACAAAATGAATGAATCTTAAATGTATTACTAAGTATAAGAAGCCAGTCTGAAAAAGTATGACTGAAATCATATAGTCATACTGTATGATTCTGTTTATATGACATTCTAGAAAAGGCAAAATTATGGAGCCAGAAAATAGCTCAGAGGCTGCCAGGAGTTTGGGGGAGGAGATGAAGTTGATTAGGGGAAGCACAGGGGATTTTTTTAGGGTCATAAAATTATTCTGCACGATATTGCATTGGTGCATCATGACACTACATATTTGCCAAAAGCCATAGGACTTTACAGCACAAAGAGTGAACCTTAAAGAATGCAAATTAAAAAAAATATCAGTTGGGAGATTGGACAACTGCAAGACAGAATGCAGACTGTGACAAAAGAATCTGTTTTACAAATGTGTGACCTAATCTCATTGAAGGGGATGGGGGTAAAGTGCCGACGTAAGTAACTTCTGAAACAACTAGAGACGGTGAGACTAAAGTCAAAAGGAACTACTCAAAACCACTATACTCCAGCTGGTAGAATCACCTCTCAGGGAGGTACAGATGAAGAACGCTGAGACTACTGTACACAAATACTGGGATTGAACAAATAAGTAAATGGATGGCAGATCGTGGGAGCCAGGATTCTCGCTGTTGGAAAGGGAGGTTATGGATCAGTGATGGAGATAGAGATATGAATGTGTGTATACATATGGGTTAGTATATACCCACATATTATCTTGCTCTGTCCATGAGAGGGGCTAGAAGCAACAGCATCCCAGTAGCAACAAGCACATCTAGTGTCCAGGTGTTCATTCTCCAATACAGGAGCCAGGGCTTCTTAAGAGAAGCAGCTGAGGGGCTTCCCTGGTGGCGCAGTGGTTGAGAGTCCGCCTGCCGATGCAGGGGACACGGGTTCATGCCCCGGTCCCGGAAGATCCCACATGCCGCGGAGCGGCTGGGCCCGTGAGCCATGGCCGCTTAGCCTGCGCGTCCAGAGCCTGTGCTCCGCAGCGGGAGAGGCCACAACAGTGAGAGGCCCGCGTACCGGGAAAAAAAAAAAAAGAGAGAGAGAGAGAAGCAGCTGATTCCTAGTATTGGAGCAGGAAAAATACAAGATGAGGCTAAAGCATCTTATACACCAGAAACTAAGAAAGCACAAAACAAAACACTGCAATGAGTGTATGTCAAAGTACACAGAAGCCAACTGAAATTAAATGGTCAAAGATAAAACAATTTGAGCCACAAAATAAATAAAGAAGTATTAGATTATAACTCAAAATATAAAATTACTATATAATATATTATATTTAAATATCATAAATGAAATATAATAGGTAATTGAACGGATAAATAAATGGGAGAGAATAGACAAACCTGTAGAAATAAATTCCAAATAATTTATGTAGATATTTCTCCATTCAAGGTGGTGGAGCAAACACCCCCATCCTTAGGTGAAGATTTCACATCGTGACCTCTTTCTTACGGGGACAGTATAGGAAGAGGGGAAATCAAGTCTCAAACGTTAGTGGGCATCAGAATCACCTGGGGAGCTAATTAGACACAGACCCTGGGCCCACGCCTCACTCCACCCCCACCCCCAGTTTCCAGTTCAGAAGGTCTGCAGTAAGGCCTGAAACGTGATTTTCTAACAGGTTCCCAGATGATCTGCTCTTACTGGTCGAGGGGCCACGCTAGGCCAGTGCTCCGCAGACTGTGGATCTTCAACATCACCTGGGATCTTGATAGAAAAGCAAATTCTCAGGCCTGACCCCAGACCTACTGAGTCAGGAACCCTGAGGATGGGACCCAGCAATTCTGTTTGAACAAGCCCTCCAGGTGATTCTGATGCCCATCAAAACGTTTGAGAACCATTGGTCTAGTGTGCGCAGAGAATCCGTACTGTTTCCAGTACCAGGACTGTTGGCAGGGGTGTATGAGAAGTTAATGGAAGGGTGTGTTTCTCCATAAATTAGGTGCACGTTGTACTTTTCCTGGTTGTGGTCCTGTGTAGCTATCGTCCCCTGTGACCAGCTCTCATTTACCCTGGTGAGCAGAGGACTACAATGAGGGGGAAATATACAGATTGTTCACAGCATTCCCACACCTTCCCCCCCCCCCCCACCCCCCGTTGGCACAATCACATGGCAGCTGAGCTTAGCAAGTGTAGGTGGGCTCCTGCCTGGGTTCAGCGGAGGGAAGATGTGTCTAGCTGCTGGGTTCCAAATTCAGATGCCCCTGGATCTGAGATTAACCTTTTAGGATGAGTCTCACATCTGCTTCATTCAGCCACAGATTAGGATCAGAATCTGCTTTCAAAGCAACTAGCACACTCAGAAAGCCTCCTGACTTGAAAACGTCTCCAGGGAATGCATGATGCTCTCAAGATGAGAGTTGGGATAGGCCACTGGGGATGGGCTAGAAATGGTAGGCAAGGCAATAAAAAAGAAATGACGGGAAAAACATCAAGAGAGAAGAGTGGGCTGGGTTTACATAGAAACACACACACACACACACACACTTCCATATCCTCTCTCCAAGATAGTGGTTCCCCACCTGAACTGCATGTTAGAATCACCTGGGGAACTTTAAAAACCCGGATGCCCAGGCCATACCCCAAACGAGTGACATCAGATTCTCTGAGTCTAAGATCCAGGCCTCAGCAGCTTTTAAAGTTTCCCAGGAAATTCCAATGTGCAGCCAAAGCAGAAATTAAAAGTGCCAGGGGGTTCCACCTGCTATACATTTTCTTATCAATTTTGATCAAATTTTGCTTCACCTCCCATTGCTTTTGCCCTTAATTCCCTCATGGAATGTGTTAAGAGACAACCTGGCCAAAAAAACAAAAAAAAACCAAACCTGAATATATCCTTTGTAAGTAGAAAATTGGACACCATTTATCAAAAATTTTAAATATGTTTAAAATACATTTACCTTGGGCTTCCCTGGTGGCGCAGTGGTTGAGAGTCCTCCTGCTGATGCAGGGGACACGGGTTCGTGCCCCGGTCCGGGAAGATCCCACATGCCGCGGAGCCGCTGGGCCCGTGAGCCATGGCCGCTGAGCCTGCGCGTCCGGAGCCTGTGCTCCGCAACGGGAGGGGCCACAACAGTGAGAGGCCCGCGTATCGAGAAAAAAAAAAAAAAAAAGTGAATAAAATACATTTACCTCTTCAATTTCATGAACAGAAATCTATCCTGAAGGAACATTCACACATGCCCACAAAGATACAAGACTGCTCATCGCAGCAATTTGGAACAGCAAAAAATGGAAAACAGTCAAAATGTCTATCAATAGATAATATATGACAGAGCCTTACAATGACAAATTTTGTAGTCCTTAAGAAAGAATGAGGCAAATTTGCATATACGAATATGAGGTAAGAGATACCCAGACAGAGGCCACAGCATGAGATCTTCTTGAGTTATCTGGGTGGGTCGTAATCCAAGGACAAGTGTCCTCATGGGAGACATACAGAAGAGATCCATACAGAGAAGGCAGCAATGTGAAGATGGTTCTACGATAGACTACATGGCCACAAACCCAGGGACGCTGGGGCAGCCACCTTGGAAGAGGCAAAGAATGGATCTTCCCTAGAGCTTCTAGAGGGAGCTCAGACCTGCTGAACCTTGATTTTGAACTTCTAGCCTCTAGAACTGTGAGAGAATAAATTTCTGCTGTTTCAAGCCAGCAGGCTTGGGGTTGTTTGTTACGGCAGCCCTAGGACACTAATATAAGTCATAGAGGCCCCATCAGAGGCCTCCAGTGATCTTCCAGGCTATTGTAAGGACTTAGTTTTCACTCCCCAAATGGGAAGTCAAGGGAGGATTTTGAGTAGAGAAGTGACACAATCTGACTCATTTTCTAACAGGACTGTTCTGGCTGCTCTTCTTGAATAAATTATATAGTTCTGAGTTTCTTGATTATTATTATTATTTTTTTGGTAACCAAACTTCAATTTGTCTTCTAATTATTTAAAAAAATATGAATGTTAAAAATAAAAGAATGGAATAGATTCTAAATTAATAAACATTTAACAAAACAATAAAAACAAGCACTTAAAAGCTAGCCCGAATGACCAAAGCCGGCCAAGGAGTCTCTCCCAGCTTTACCCTCTGGTGCCAGGTTTAGATCATCAAAATGTTCGCGGTCCTGGTGGTGGATCAGCTCCCTCATCAGGATGGCAAAGCTGTAAACGTCTCCCTTCAGGGTGTCTGAAAGGGGCACCTTTGGGAGCCGTCCAGCAGAGCTCTGCAAAGCCGAAGATGTCAGCTGCCGGGTGGAACTGGAAAAGCCGCTCCTTTTTTCTCAGGGAAGCACAGGAGCAGTGAAAGCATCCAGCCCCTGAGAAGTCAGCCCTGATGGTTCTAGACTTTCTCCATATTCACACACTTGGGGGTCCGTGTGTGTGAATAGGGAGGAAATAATCAGGATGATCCTGCCCTAACATGTTAACAGCAGTTAACTCACAACGGTGCAGTCGCAGGTGGCTTTCCTTTTCCTTTTCCCTTTCTATATTGCCTACAGTAAAAAAATGATTTAACAATTCATAGAACATAAAACTAACCACTTGAAAGCGAACAATCCAGTGGCCTTTAGTACACCGGCAATGTTGTACAACCACCACCTCTACCTAGTTCCAAAACATTTCTAACACCCCAAAGTAAGACCTTGAGCCCGTTAAGCAGTTTATCCCCATTTCCCCCACCTCCCATGTCCTGCCAACCATCAATCTGCATTCTGTCTCTACAGATGTATGTATTCTGTATATTTTATAAATCTACATTACTTTGGCAGTGAGGTTTATAGGTTTATATCATTATAGGTTATAATCATGAAAAGAAAATATATTGGGGGATGGGGAGATAGAAGTGGCTGCTAGCAGGTTTTCAAAATTTCCCCCTTTTACCTTTCTCTGCAAGATACCATCCTGCCCCCATATTATAGAAACCTCCCGATGTACACACAGCAAAGCTGCTGGGAGTGTGCGGCTTCAGAGACAGGCAGTCAAGGTGGAGGGCACTGGGCTCGTCAGGGCCCAGGACAGTGCAAGGTGAGACTCAGGAGTGTTCAGTAACTTGGACAAGTAGGAAGAGTCGTAGAGTCTCAATTCGCGCACATGTAAAGGAGGGTTGGACTCCAGGCGGTGGGTCTGATCTTGAGATGCCCATCAGAATCACTTGAGAGGCTTTTAGAAAACAATACGAGGACTTCCCTGGTGGTCCAGTGGCTAAGACTCCATGCTCCCAATGCAGGAGGCCCGGGGTTCGATCCCTGGTCAGGGAACTAGATCCCGCATGCATGCCTCAACTGAGAGTCCTCATGCTGCAACTAACACCCAGTGTAGCCAAATAAATAAGTAAACAAACAAATAAATAAAATACAGATGCCCAGACCCCTTCTTCATAAATTCTGATTCAGTTGGCATGGGGTGGGACCCAGCCCCTTGCATATTTTTTAAAGCTTCTCAAGTGATACCGGAGTGCGGAGAGGTTGGAGAACTACTGAGCTCACCATCTGTAAGGTGCCTGGCAGGTCGTGCCTTCTCCGCTGAGAGCACAGGAAGAAGACGCGAGGAGACACAGAAGACTGAAGAGAAGGGCAGTGACTCACTTCAGGTCACCCAGCTGAGCCAGGGTGGGAGCTAGTCTCCTAACTCAGACACCCCACCATGGACTCGTGCCACTCGTGGGCGTTATTTTTTTCTCATCTCCTTGGGTGGCTGGAATAACCACATACCATCAGCCCCAGAGGGAGGCCCACTGCAGGTAGCCGTGCACGTGAGCCTCAGAAAGCAGAGGTGGAATAAGGAGCCCTTTACCCCTCTCCTGACAGCTAGTGGGTGCAAGATCTGCCAACGGTTACCCGAGCGGTCCGTCGTTCTCTCGTTGTACCTTCTGTACGTCCGGCCATATTTGAGTTCCCTCAGCCCAAATCCTGACAGCTTCACCTGCATCCGTCTGTCCACCAGGCAGCTGGAAGGCTTCAGGTTGCCAAGGGATCCCAGTGGGCTCCTGTGGAGGAACAGCAAGCCCTGAAGAGTGGAAATGAGCAAATGAATCAGAGCAGGTGCCAGCAACGCTGCTGGAAGAAAAAGAGACACAGCGGCAGATGGACAGAAACAGACAGACATACCCATGGCAGGAGACATGCCCATCTTCATCTTTATTTGTTCAAGAGCCACTAACACAGCCCCTCGCCCAGGGCGTCACCCTGGGCAGGAACACCCAAAAAGGAGAAAACTATTTCTGGCCCCTCCATGTGGAGCCACAAACGCAAGGCCAGCTTAAAATAAATGTAGCCTCGTGGTCAGACTCCTGGGTTCAAATCCCAGCTCTACCACACAGTAGAGGGCAAGTTACTTTTCCCTGTAAGCCTCACTCTTCTTGTCAAAATGGAGATGACGATAATCCCTCTCAGGGTGGCTGTGGAGATTAAATGTAATAATACATGCGAACCACCAGACATGGTGCCTGACACAAAGTAAAGACTGCTACAATTTATAATGAAAAATTTGTATGAATATAATAAAGGATATCAACAATCTAGAAACAACACTATGCAATTAAAATATTATTTTATTACCTACATATTGAGGATTATATTCCATTACTATCTACATAGAATGGTTCTATAATAATAGAGTATTATATTTATTACATGCACTTAAGGGTCCTGTTTGAGCACTTCACAGGGAGAGGCAATGAAATGAGGAACATTGAAAAATTCTCATGTCATTCACTGTGTTCTTGAGAGGTTACGTCAATTATTTGTATGCAGTAATGAAGCACTATTATTTATAAAGAGGACAGAACAAACTCTAGAGTCAGCAGACGTGTTCAAGTCTAGACTTTACCAGTCAGTCTCTTCAAACAAATCACCTGGGGCCTCGATTTCACCATCTGTGAAATGGGTCTGCCTTAGACGCCTGCTACTTGAAAGATGCCCCAGGGAACAGCAGCAGCAGCATCACCTGGGAGCTTGGCAGAAATACAGAATCTCAGGCGCTACCCAGACCTACTGGATCAGACTGTGCATTTTAACCCGATCCCCAGGAGATGCGTGCACTTATTGGTCTGAAAACACCTGTCCTTGTCAATTGTTCCCAGCCTTGGCTGCACATTAAAATCAATGCTAGGGCCCAGATATAAGAACCTATACTAGCTGCAGATTACCTCTCACACAAACCAAGCCTGCGTGCGGAGGAGGTGAATGATCAGATTGGAGGAAGAGGGCTTAATCTGAAGGCTGGTTGAGGGAGCTCCGTCCTCAAGGCAGTGATGATTCTTATTTAGCAAGGAGATGAGGGCAGGGGGTGGGGATCTCTCACAATGAAGGAACTCAGGGTTTTAAACCGCTCCCAGGGAGTGGGGACAGAGCTGGGAGACAAACCCAGGTCCAGTCGCCTTTGAAGCTCAGCCACTTCTAAACCACTAGTTTTACTGTTTCTGGTGCCCTGGGTGACTGTAAGAGGAAGGTGGGGGAGGAAGAGGGTAGGTAGAAGCATACCTATTCTTCTGGCACCACTGCCAGGTTAAATGAACCACAAGTCCAGCTTGAGTCACACGGTGTGGTTACGAGAAGTCATCGGCCCTCGGTGCCCAACAAGAAGGAATGCGAGGAGGGCCCCTGAATGGACTATTGCACCCAGAGACCGGGTCCTTGGGCCTCCTGGGCACCAGCTCTGGGACTCACCTCTTCCTCCAGCAGTGACGACAGGCTGAATCATTGTCGGCTTTAGCAAGAACCCTGAGCTAATATTGCATTAGAAATACAGGCTAATACAGAAAGCAATAAGGAAACATTCAGGACAGTGGGTACACCATGCCCACCTCACCCCCTAAAAAATCAGGAGGCCGTGTTCCCTTATCAATCTGCGTATTTGTTTTTTGAGGTGATAAAGTTGAATCACATTTTGGAAACACAACTCACTTAATCAGACAGGAAGGGCCTGGGTGGGGCTCCCTCTGGAATGTTTCCAGCGAGGTTCCAACAGGCTGAGAGGTCTGGTCTTGAAATCTGGGGAGACCTGTGTCCAAGCCAGAGTTCTCTCTGACCTCACGGAGACCTTTCCATTCCACAGAAGTCTCCCTGACACACACGACTGTCCCTGCCCTTGCTAGTGCCAGGCTCACCCCTGGCATGAGACATTCTACATTCCGGTCGCTGCTGACCACCCCTGACATCCAGGTATATTAGTGGAGCTCCTTCCATTAGGACAAAAATAACATGTTTCGGGATGCTTGGAATCCTAGGAATGTAGTCCTCTGCGAGAGATGGCACACATCTCTTTGGTTTTTTTGTTTGTTTGTTTTTTGGTGGGTTTTTTTGAGGTACACGGGCCTCTCACTGTTGTGGCCTCTCCCGTTGCGGAGCACAGGCTCCGGACGCGCAGGCTCAGCGGCCATGGTTCACCGGCCCAGCCGCTCCGTGGCACGTGGGATCTTCCCGGACCGGGGCACAAACCTGTGTCCCCTGCCTCGGCAGGTGGATTCTCAACCACTGCACCACCAGGGAAGCCCCATCTCTTTGTTTTGTTCTATTATATTTTTCTATCTTGATGGAAATGTCTGACTTTATGTTGTTGTCTGAGAACAAATAGAACCATTAGAGGCTCACCATTGATGTGCCGGGTTTCATACACTGTTGGCAGTTCTATTACCTACGTGTCTGAAGCTACATTTATTTTCCTGCTGGAAAGTTGAGGCTGGCCCACAGGACTCCTACCTCTGGATCCCATATCTGTGCTCTCTGGTACTTCCAGGGAGGAAAGAATTCAGCTTTTGGAGACAGACTGGCTGGAAATCCCAATCAGCCCCTTACCGGTTGGGCTGGTTACTCCACCTCACTAAACCTCATTTTTTTCCCTTTTTGAAAAGGGAGTAAGAATTCATACTATTAATATTGGAGTTAAGGATAAATTAACGACGGAGTTAATTGCTAATTATTAAGAGCACTGTCCAATAGAAATACAATGTAAGCACATGTATAATGTTTAATTTTTAATTCAACAGGTGAAATTACTTTTAATAATATATTTTATATAATCCATTAAAAATCTTATTTTAACATGTAATCAACATGAAAGTATTAGTGAGATATTTTACATTCCTTTTTTTTTTTAAATCTTCAAAAGTTGTCATGGATTTTATACTTATAGCACATCTCAATTTGGACTAGCCACATGGTCAGTGTTCAGTAGTCACATGTGGCTGGTGGTACCATATTTGGACAGTGCAGGCTTACCCCATAAGATTGTTGGGGAATAAATAAGAAAGTGTGTGGTTTTTAGCACTAGAAATTGGGTTATCTGGGATAATAGTAATACTATACTCCTGCTAATACTAACAACATTTACTAGATACCTGTTATGGAGCAGACATGGTGCTAAGCAATTTACATACCTTAGACCTCACAACCACCCCACGAGGCAGGTACTATTGTTATCTTTATTTTATACACAGGGACACTAGGGGTCAGGGTAGTTAAGGTCACCTGGTCAGTACATGGCAGAGTCAGGGTTTAAATCACCAATACAACTTGCGTGCCAGACTGTCCTTCACCCTCTGAATCTATTAAGACTTCTCTCACTTAGAAACAAAGGCCCCTCCCTAACTCAAGAAGAGTATTATACTCTCCAAAGTTCCTTCCCAAGCTGGCCCCACTGGGTTCAACTCCTTGGGGACAGGACAATAAGACTTATTCCTTTGTGCCCACCATGCCCAGAATCGGGTTTGACCCAATTAGGTGCTGAATCAACATACATTTGCTATTTTGAAAAGTCTGTGGCATCTCAGAATCTGCCTGATACCTCGTATAGAGGAGGTTCTGATCAAACAGATATTGGGACAGGAATTGTTCTTATGATCGGTATGTGATGGCCAGAAGCGCAGTCTGACCCACAGAGCTTGGCCCAGCGCCTGGGTTCACGTCAAAGTCATCCATGCCAAAGCTCCAAAATGCTGTAGCGACTCTTCTGTTACTTTTTTTTAATTTTTGGCTGTGTTGGGTCTTCATTTCTGTACGAGGGCTTTCTCCACTTGTGGCAAGCGGGGGCCACTCTTCATCGCGGTCACGGGCCTCTCACTATTGCGGCCTCTCTTGCTGCGGAGCACAGGCTCCAGACGCACAGGCTCAGCGGCCATGGCTCACGGGCCTAGCTGCTCTGCGGCACGTGGGATCTTCCCAGACCAGGGATTGAACCCATGTCCCCTGCATTAGCAGGCAGATTCTCAACCACTGCGCCACCAGGGAAGCCCTCTTCTGTTACTCTTAGTCCCCTTTCAGCGAAGGTTGGCATTGCAGCTTCCTTATAGGATCCCATAACGTGTACACTCCATTTCAGGAGATAGCGAGCCTACCAAAGCAAGGTGTCAAGCTGTCCTCTGTCCTGGCATGGAGTGGAGGATAGATTCAGTGACCTAGAATAGCTGATGACCACCAGGGAGATTTTCCCCTTCAAAGTGTCATTCGCATCCACCCCAGCATTTCTCCAGAGAATCCTTCGAGTCAATTCTTTTTTTTTTCTTTATTCGAGTATAATTGCTTTACAATGGTGTGTTAGTTTCTGCTGTATAACAAAGTGAATCAGCTATACATATACATATATCCCCATATCTCCTCCCTCTTGCATCTCCCTCCCACCCT